CTCCAAGGCCAAGCGCTGTCTCAAGTCGACCCATCGGGAGCCCCACGAAAGGACATTCGGCCCGTCCGGACGTTTAGGGCTTCCTTCGTTGCCTGAGATTGAAGAAGTCCCTTTTGCCAACCGACGCTGCTTTTCCAGGCACCCACAAGTTTGGCTAAAACCCTTAATCTCTGCTTTGTACCCCTTTCCTTGATTAAAGGCGGCTCTTTCTTCCAGACCGCAATTCTGAAAAGCACAATCTTTACATACCAACGCTACTTCTTGCCAAGACTGTTGCCAATACATTATTTTCATAGCAAAAGTGGTTACGAATCCAAACACACATCCAGCCCTGACAAAAAAAACACAATTTCCTTCTATTGTCCTATTGCCGTGCTATTGGCCACCAACAAGGGGTCCATACAGGAAAGGACTCCGGATTGGAGGACAACTGAGGATCTTAGAATACATTGTTCCTGCTTTCTGCTCGCTCCCTGTTCCTCCTTGTGCTTCCTTCCTATATCGTTCTTGTTTGAATTCTTGCATTCCGTACTGTACTGCCTTCCTTGATTCCTTCCTTCCTTCCTTCCTTCCTTCCTTCCTTCCTTCCTTCCTTCCTTCCTTCCTTCCTTCCTTCCTTCCTTCCCTCCATTCTCTGCGTTGTTTTCTTCGTTCGTTCTGAAACCGAACAAAGTGTACCGCTCATCCAAGTATCATGCGCCACTTTCTTGCATAAATTAACAAGGGATGCGGCCCCTGCGGCTGGGACCAAAATAGCTTGAAAACGAGGCCCTTTATTCAGGTCAAAATGATTTGACGACGGCGAGAATCAATCAGAAAAGCTCAGTAAAGCCGCTTCCAAGAAGTTCCTTTCATGAAGACATTCGGGCAACAAGCCTTTGCTGATAACGGGCGCGCACACTGAAACAGAGTGCTTTGGGCTCTACAGCCATCGACCGACAGCTGCATGAAATAGCACAAAACAAGAGCACAGTCTGTGGAGCTGGACCTGTACCGGAGCCATACCTTCACTCAGGCTTGGGGTTGGCGTGCTGCACACAGCCGGAGCAGAAAAATGAATGCGGATCAAAGCTCGAAAAAGCCATGTGTGACAGTTGGTTGGCGATTTGGCAAACTGATTCGGTCTATGTAAGCTGCCGGCTGAATTTTGGATGGCTAAGCTTGTTTCGTGCTTGGGGCACATCTCACATGTCCCCTGTTTGGATGACTTGCGCAGCTCCGCCAAGAAGGTTTCACGAGCCGGACACTTTAGGCACAATTCCAGCAATGGATCATTGGAGTTTTGCGAACTTGTCCAAAGGCCAATACGCTAGATCTTTCCCGGGTGGAATGATAAGGCGCGTGCCAGCCACCACCCAGAACGCAGGTGCACGTGTATGGTATTTGTTTCCACAGCATGCACCGACAAGACGAGTAAATGGATGATTCCAACAATACAGCACCTGTCTACAGGCATTGACTCTTCAGAACCCCTTGTTGCGATCTGCACGCACATTTTTTTGCAGCACGTCCACAGCTCCGTCCGAGATCTGCTCCGGATCAGCTGCGGAAGCTCTAAGCAGGCCGGTGTGTGCCAACAGAAAGACAAATGACTTGTAAGTGCACCAAAGATCCCGAAGTAGTGGCTGCATGGAGTTCGGAGTTTATCCATGTACCAAACGCCTTTCTTACACATGAGATTTCCCTGGTTCATGTGGCATTGATGTCAATCATCTCAATCGAACGTGGCCACGACTGAGCCCTAAACGTGGGAGTGAGCTTTCGGTTGATGCAAACCCATAAGGGTGGTGTACCAATTAAACCATGTTGCCCGTCAGGATTTGTTGATACACACTTCTAATTGTGAATGTGTATGCTTTTCAAGTTCTTCCAATTGATCCACAACCCAGAAGTGCTAACATGCCGCCCTGCTCATCAGAAACCTCTGCTTAATAGGCCGAAGTGATGTGGGTTCTCATGGACACAAAGCAAACGCAGGAGGATCTTTACAGCAACTCTCTGGCAAGCTTCTTCAAATGACAGCACTCATTGCGCAGTCTGTCACTGTGATGTTCACTCATGAATATCTCCCTTTCTTGTTTGACATGCGGATGGGCCAGTGATTTTATTGTGCTCGCAGGAACAAAAATGACGGCGTCCAAGGAATAGCCCCATAACATGATGGTGCCCAAGATCCAACAACCAGGCTGGGCCACCCATGTTGCTTTTTCACTATGCTCAGCCTAAAGCAAAATGTGTTCAGGCCCAAATAAATTGTCGGGAAACAAGATGAGGAGACCCAAGAATCGGGCACCTTTGGGCGCATGTTGAATGCAAACAATGGCCACCTGACAAATAATATCTTTCAAAATGACCCACTGATATCCATACAAACGACGTTGAGCCGACGCCGACCTGCCAAAAGGCTAGGTTGACATGGCCTTTCTCGACCCAGCTTGGCACACAAAGGTCTGGAACGCTCCTTTGGCACTACACTGGATGCTTCCATCTATTTGAATTCGCGTCAAGCATCTCAGGGCAAATGTGGTTCTCCTTGCGCAGTCAGAACTGGACGCATGATCAGTCACATGGAATGATAATGTTATATCGAATCGTGTCCGTTTCAAAGGTTGCTGCGGGCATTTGTCGGGGCTGAATTGCATGATGGATCGCAGAGTACCGGAGGAATAACATGCAAACAAGTTGGCGTGAACCAAGGGCATCCAAGTGCCTCAACAACACTGTGCCTCGCAAAGCCACATTGATTACCATGTGGCGGATGCTGATGTTACGGCCATCATGTCCCTCAAATATATTATACCTTGGCAGGCCGATTGGAACAGGCCCTTGAAAGCGGCAAACTCCGAAGAAGGCTTTCGGTATGTCTGTTGTTGAGATACCCTGGGTGATGATTTTCAAGAAAACCTAAACACCTGTACAAAACAAAGGTGGGGGGGTCCCCGAGTGTAAGACCAGCCCTGCAGTTCCCGCACTCCTCGGCGTGAAAGAGGGTTGTGCGCAGCACCTGGTCCTCGGCGTGGTCCCACCACTCGGCGCCCCAGGTGGTGTTGCGGCCGTTGATCACGTCCTGCCTGGCCGGCCGAGTGGCCCGGCAAACTGCAAGCATCATAGACTCCCAGGGCTATGTGTTGGGGGGTGGGTGGCTATCCCTGGACAAGCCTGGGATAAGCCAAGGATGAGCCATTGGCTCAGGGCCTGACTAAGGGGTCAATGAAAGCCCACGAAAACGTACGGCTATCACCTACCGACTCACTGACTGGTTGGCCTGTCGAGATTGTTTCATGCAGGTTTCAGCGCCTCTGGGTCTTTTCCTGGTCCGCCTTCAGGAAGCAGTTCACTAGGCTGCGGCTGAGGGAGTAGAACTCTCCGTACATACCTGAGTGGCCAGTTCTCCCTGGGATTCGTAGCGGTTTGAATAGAAAATCGAGTCGGCCTGCGGAAACTGCAAAGGAATGAGTCGGAAACGAGCCTTTTCTCAACTAAAAGCGGTTTGATTCGAAATTCAAACGATTTGATCCTGTACCAAGGGCATGTTTCGGAGCCTGCCCCTCAGCTCGCATTCAGCTCGCAACTAAAACCGTTAAATTGACATCAATTTTTGTTTTCCCCAGATAGCTGAAAGATGTAGGGGTCCTAACTTCTAATGAAGAGGGGAAAATGATCTGCGAGATTGCTGGGCTGGTGGTAGGGGGCGTGCATTTTGGGGTGCTGGTGTAGGTTCTGTTTGGGGTGCTGTTTGAGGTGCTGGTGGCAGTTGAGTTGAGGCACATCTTTTTAAGATTGATGGAAGGGTGCTAGGGCACATGCAGTTTGGGGTGCTGGTGCAGGTGCTGTTTTGCGGGGTGACGCTGCGCGCATTTTTGCATCTTGACGGTAGGGTGCAGGGGGCATGCAGTTTGGGGTGCTGGTGCAGATGGTGATTGGGGATGCTGTTTGGGGAGCTGTTTGAGGTGCTGGTGACCGTGCGGGCGCATTTTTGCTCGATTGACGGCGTTTGGGGCAGTTTTCGGGAGGTGCTGTTGGAGGTGCTGGTGCGCAATCATTGGCATGTGTTTGGCTATTTGGGGTCTATGCCGGTGTAATTTTTGCGGATAGCCCGTCGGACAGCAAGCGGTAAGGACAGGACTGCCGAGCTTTTGAGCTATCCACCAATCCCAAAACCTCTGAGGCCTCGGCCGCCCTTGCCATTGTAGCCCCCCATGAAGTGCCTGCGGCTTGTTTCGGAAGAGTCCGGATGTTGGGAATGAACCGATTGAAAATTCCATAAAATGGAAACCCTGGGAGATGGTTTATGGGGGTTCCCTCATTCCCTGCTGAGAACCGTTTGATGACTGCCTCATGGGATCTGCTCGGCAGCTTGCTGTTGGATTAGTTTGAGCCCTTTGCTTTGTGGGTTGTTAGCTGGCGAGAGTCAAAATTGTGTTGGCTGTTCGGGTTATGGGTTGGTGTCCAGTAATGATGAACAATGAAATCGCAAACAAAAGCCAAGAGGGACAAATCGTCAAGAATCCAGGCCATCCACATCAGCTTGGCATTGCGTTTTGCGAGGACTGGCACAAAGAGCAAGCCTTTTTCAAGTTTCATGGTCTGCAGGATCTTTGCCTCTGCAGAACCATTACAAAAGTGTCTTCCTAAGTCTGACAAGTTTCGTTTTGGGTGAAGAAGCAGCAAGAGTTGCATCTCGTAGTGACCAGCCCGTGGCATAGCAAAAAGGCCTACAACAAATCGCACCTGGTTTGAAGCAGGCAGCATTCAAACTTCCATGACTCCCAGACAAAATCAATCCGTCAAAAGACTGTCCACACACCCAAGCTAAGTGCCGCAGGGGTTCCTTCGACTGGTTTCTGCTCATCCCCGGCGCCTGCCGTAGATCACCGGCCACTCGCGGCCGCCAGCAGTCACCGGGGCCTTGTCCAGGTCCTCCTGAATTGTCAGGATGTCCTCAGGGCAGCATGCGACACACGGCGGTGACCCCCTGAGGTCTTTGGGTTCCAGCAGGC